GGCTATTAGCCTGAACCACATTCATCAGTTTTAACCTTTCCAATTCATAAACTCGCTCTCGTTCCCGTTCCGCTCTCTCTTGTTCACGTTCCCCCTCTGCTCTTTCGCGTTCCCGCTGTACTCTCTCTTGTTCACGTTCCCGTTCTGCTCTCTCTTGTTCGGTTATTTCTTCTGCTTTTTTCTGCTCAGCCGCAGGCCAAATTCTTGCTGCGTATTCTTTCGCCGCTTCTTCTTCGTAGTCCTTCGCATTTAAAATAGCCTGCCTAATTTCTCTTACTCTATTTGCCCGAGACACATTTGTATCAAACTCCTCCGCTAACTCCAATAGCAGAGCTTTAGTAAATTTCGTCATAAACTCACCCATTATGGAAAATTAAAGAAAAATAACTTACTTCAAAATACAATAACACAAAAACAACAACAGTCTATCTCTCCAAAACTGAATAATTCCCTAACAATTCTGAACACAAATTGCCTTACAGCACTTAATGATAATACCTATGCCTACATACAAAACGTATATTTAAAAAACTGCTAAATAAGAGGCAACCTTTTCCTGCTCTATCTCAACTATATAAATATTGTTCTCTAAGTCTGGACTGAATTAAAAACTAAATTTGTCTAAATCATACCGTTACAATACTTCATACAATTTAAACAATTAGTAAAACAATAGAACAAACAATTAAATTTCAATTAGCAACAGTAACCACAAGACTAACTTTCAATAACCACCAGAAAACTCTTGATCCCCCAAAACAGAGCTATATCCAAAATAAACCTAGTCTCGAATAACTGGCATAACTTCTCCAAAATCACAAAAATGGTACTCACCAATTTTGAAGACGCCTTCGATTTACTCTCCTGGCACTAACTTGGATACTCTTCCGGGAAATTTCACTATTTTGCGGCACTAGATCACGCTTCCTCCGACGTTCCCTTCTGACACTCTGTCACTTTTCACTGACACTTGTCACTGAAAAGGCTCCACCACGCGAACTGTCTTTGCACGCAAAATTAGATCCTTCTTGTGCAGAGAAGAAAGTCTTGACTGCTCAATTTTACAGGCGAAAAATTCCATTCCTAAATTTATCTCTAAAAGCTTCCACCAATTTTTAATATTTACTGCTGTGGTGTAGTGTTAATGCTTCAACTGTGTGATGTTGAACTCCATTGAAAACGCTAATGATGGAACACCACATGAAAATTTTACTGAACGCCCAAAATAAATGGCTACATACAACCAACAAGAGAAAAACCTAATTCTTTTTCTTAAAATCAAATTCTATACATTTTACGTGCAAGAGCAATACGTGGCTCTGGAGCTTGCCTTTTTAACATTGCCAACAATTTAATTATTTTAATAACAACTATTTTAACAACTATTGAAAACGTATTCTAAGTTAAATAATAATAATTTTCATCTTATGCTCACGAGACATCCTTGTCCATTTTAATCTTCAGTTTCTTCTTCCTTTAAGTGACTGTATCACACTATGGAAGCCAAATTTCTTGGAAAAGCTTAATGGCCAGTACATTATGTTGTAAATGCCAAATATATCAGGCCTACCAAAGTATCGTTTCCTAGGTTAACCGAAAATAAAATAAAGACAAAATTGGCAAAATTGTTTATTAATAGAGTATTTTCAGTGAGCAAAACGTAACAACCAGGCAGAAAACCAAGGCGTTTATGCCGTTATTTGTGTTTCAAATAATGCAAAATGAACACATAGAAAAGATTTATGAATTGAAAGATCTGATGTAATTTTTGACTACCATTGAAAAATATGTATAAAAACAGTTTTTTGAGTATCATAAGAAACATAAGCGCACGAGCCTTGATGCGATATGTGCGCGCTACCAGACAGAACTGTCATTTGCCCACAGAGAGGGAAGATAGAGAACTGTAACTCCCTGAGAAGGCATCTAGAATTTTGTCGTGGATGTCAGAACTTCCCTAGGACAAGACTTAATAAAATTTAGAAGGACATTTCACAAAAATCCAATCACTGAACCTCAGCTTGAACTGGAGTCAAATTGGAGACATCCGGACAGGCTTCTGTGCATCTACTTCCTTAGAATTTTTTACTAAAAATGACGTAAATGGTTTGGTTTATGTGATTACGGCAACGCCTTGAGGGCTAATCTGCCTAAAGGAAGGGATGGCTTCGTGGAGGACGTTCTAAGCGAAACTGGCTCGCATACGCGTTATACACGGAGAAAAACCACGAAGGCGCCCATGCAGCCAGCCCGTTCGTGGGATTCGAGGCTCGGACCGAGCTACCAGTGTTCAGCGACTTTACTGCTCGGCCGCTGCTGTGCCCAAAAATGACGTAAATAAAAATCACAAAATAGCATTGCTGACAGAAATACTATTAGTATCAACCAAATTTCAAGTTAAAGGACCTTTGTAGCCCCTTCGGATAAGACCAATACATTTTTAGAATTATAAATGAAATTTAAAGATGATGTTAAAGGGTAATTTGGATAATTCTTTTGCAATAGTTACACAGAACAAGTAGTTTTTTCTATGAAGTTAACGAACTTGAAAAATTCAGAAATGAGTGCAACTCCGATATTCTTCTCCTACAGGAACACGTTTGGTCAGCATAAATCCTTTCATGCTATGTTTCCTATTGGTTTGACAAATCAACTACTTGCCACTATTCGTTTGGTAGAAATGCAGGATACAGAAGTTTTATTTTCGTCAAACGCTCTCTTCCTCAATATCTCACTGCATTACCACATATCTCAGATAAGGAAGCTCTAGCTGTTAGCATTCATTTCACCCATATCACGCTCAAATCACTATTATCTCCAACTACATCTCATCACGTACACAAGCAGAAGATGTGTACTTAAATCTAAACGTCTTAATTAAGAATTGTGTCCTCATAACTGTAGATTTTAATCACAAAACCGTGCTTGACGTAAAATAATTGTACCAATAGGCTTAAATAATAGCCCAAAAGGCCAACTTCTTTACTGAAGCTCCTAATAACCCAATCCACTATGGCAGCGGTTTTCAGTCTTTTGACTAACGCGTACCATGTAAACAAAAATTGAAAAACCTTAGTACGACTCTTACATTTCACAGTGATTATTTTTTTAATTTCTAAATAATAATATTTTGCCATTTGCACAACCTATTGGCTATTCGTATTAAATATACACACATAAAAATATTAGATTGAAAATTGGTTATCATTTTAATTATCAAATTTAAGTTATAATACTTTAATTCTAAAATTTAGTGTGAAATTTGGGCCTGTTTAAGGAAGATAAATTTCTTTATGTCTGGCGTTATTTCACTTCGTTTTAATCGTAAATTAGCATCCACTTTTAATTTTCTTCTGTATTTATTTTTCAAACGTAACATGGAAGAAAATCCTTGTGCACACAAATAGGTTCTGCAAAAACGTGATTAAAATTTAATAGCTTTATTTGAAATGCCTTTAAATTCTTTTTTTCGGTTCAGCCAAAAGTTAACAAGTGTTATTTTTTAAATCTTCAGTTAGAGTTCTATCACAGGAAATTTCTATCAATTGTTCTTTTTTTTCCAATGATATTTTTGATTTTTGAATTTAGTAGTTAAAAATACTCTGTTCCTTTGCGTACCAACTATTCTGCTCTTGCGTACCACCGGTTGAGAATCGCTGCACTATGGTATTGGCATCGCTAATATCTCAGACATGTTTCAGCTTAAAAAAACATACTGCTACTTTATGCCTCGGGACCATAAGCGAACTATTCTCCAATCATAAAGCCGTTGCGGTTGAACTCGGTGTAAGTAAACACAATATATTGCACAAAAGTGTCGATATCATGAAATGGACTATTTATACAACAAAGAGAGAAGAGAGACGCGCTAAGTGCAACATAAAATTAAGAAAAAGAACAACTTTGTATGTGTTTTTTTAATTAAAATTTAAGCCAACACATGATTGTTATTTTGTCTAATTTTATGTTTTGAACAACACTCGGTGCACTTTATCAACCATTCACAAGAGAAAAGAATTAGGTGATTTAACTAATGACATTACTAACGAGCTTCAACTGCACTTAAACATAGCAAAGGAGCGTCATCGATCAAGATATGCAAGAACCTTGCTCAAAATCAAACGCAGTTAATTAATAAGAAACTCATGGAAAAGAACTTGCTGTCCGAATGAAAAGAAAATTGTGAATAGACTTAATCATGAGGTCGGGATAACCAGATTCTTAAAAGGAAATTTTCCAGAATGATGATTTCGAATGAAATGCTGTCTGTAAGTATAAAAGTTGCTGCACAATCATTCTGCCCCTTAATTATTACAGTTTTCCTGATGCCCCTTATGGCATCTGGAAACCTATAAAAATATTCAAAACCATGGTGGAATCGTGAGTGCTAGGAAACTCTGAGACACTAGAGAAAAGCTTGGGGAACCTTCCGGTAGGTACTCAGCTTTGTCAAACTTTATAGCCTTATATTATAGGAAAGTAAGACGTAAGGGCCAGAGGGATTCATGGATATCCTATGTGTCTGGAATAACATCTTCTACGCCAATTAAACGAGTATTGGAAAGAGTGAGAAAAGCATGCGGAATATATAATGATTACTCACGTTTTTCTGGAGAAAGATGGCCGAGTGATAACCTCTACAAAAGAAACTGCGGACATTATTGGGGAGACATTTGTTGCGTTTTTTTTTTTTTTTTTTTTTTTTTTTTTTCAGCAGGAATTATCCCACAGCATTTCTTTTTCTTAAGCTACTTTCTGAGAAAAATCCCATTGCACTTCACTCTTCCAGCTCTGAGGGGATGGCTTTGATGGTAATTTTAGGATTGGTTTTCTGAATATACAGCTAATAGACGAAGATGATATATACAAACTTCAACATTAAAATTTGGCAAAATTCCACATTTATTCGGCGCTAATTATAAATAAAGATTCTATACATTGCGGAGTGATCAGAGTCAGAAGAGATCACAGTTTAAGGAGTAAATTACTGTTAGACTTACTGTTATATTGACAATGGAGACAGCGGTAGGATGGCAACTAAGCCTTTTACTGGTACAGCAGCCTTTGCACCGTCGTAATCGAACACATGTCGGCCATATGAACACACTGCTGTTCATTAATAGCTCTTCTAGCTTTACAACTCGTAGTTCAGGTTGGCAGTATCCGTCAACGAATGCTGAAACGTGTTAACAGTTTTGAATAAAGTGCTATAAATACCTTAATAAATAAATATTTTCATAATTTCAAAAACAAACTTACCAGTAGCTAACGCTCTTCCTGAAAACAGTTCAAAATTTAATTAGTGTTGTGTTACAATCTAATACAAGTTTTGTTAAAAGGAAAAGCTTTTGAAGCCTAATAATTATAATTTAAAGCATATCTGGAAATATGACTTACCAGCAGACATGGCTCTTCCTGAAAGGAAATTAAAAGATTGTTAAAATGATGCTATGAAAGGAAAATCGGATTTAATTTTAAACGGGAAAAAACAACAACAGTTAATACACCTATAAACAAAATTTAAATAAAAAATTAGCTGGCTAATTTTGTGTTGAGATTAACAACACTTAAATTTTGAAAGTAATACTATAAATGTTGAATTGATGGTTACGATAAATATAATAGTGTCTGGTACTTGTTCTACATCCAGTTGCAAAATGTCTCGGTTGAACGTCGGTACATTTGTCTGACACTCAGTTGCTCGATTGGTACGTTTTCCTGACAACTCGGTTACCCGACAGATATATATGTAGTGACTATTAACCTTACCCTCTGCTTTTTAACGCCTTGAGACCTTCTAAAATTTTATTGGTACTTACGTATTAACGCAACCAGGCCAAAATTCGCATAAATCGCCAAATTTGGCGACCCTACTTACGACAACCCTACGTGTTATACGTAGTTTTTCGTAAAGAAATTATTTTTCTTACTGGTTAGATTGAATGCCCTGAAATACTTTAACTATGGGTATTTGGGATCTGCCTGCGAGTGAAAAAGATGCTGTTGAATTGTTGCAGGGATATGGAATTATACCGAACGAACGTACTTGTAAAAATTCTCATAAAATGAAACTGTATTTTGGAAAGCAAATCTTCTGGAAATGTAACGTCGAAGAGTGCAATCAACATTTGGGTGTGAGAACCGGAAATTGGTTTGAAGGTAGCCGAATTTCATTTGTGACAGCGGTGCGCTTCATTTATTGTTGGTGTAAAGAGTTAACCTCAATTAAATTTTGTGCAGAAGAGATGGGAATTGCTGACAAAACTGTTATAGATTGGAATAATTACATGCGGGAGATATGTGCCCTTGAAATGGATGAAAAAGAAAGAAAGCAAATAGGCGGCGAAGGACTTATTGTGGAAAATAGACGAAAGTTTATTTGTAAAAAGAAAAATAACACTGGGCGTGTACTACCACAGCAATGGGTTTTCGGCGGAATTTGCCGAGAAAAGAAAGAGACTTTTTTGGTTACTGTACCTAACAGAAGCGCCGTTACCCTCATGGAAAAAATTTGCGAAAATATCAAGGAAGGAAGCATCATTTATTCGGATTGCTGGAAAGGATACAATACAAGTGAGTTCGAAAATGCTGGATTTCTGCATGGAACTGTTAATCACAAATATAACTTTGTGGATCCCAACACGGGCTCAGCCAAATGGCGCAACAAAAAACAGAGAGGAACAGCCCGTCATCATCTTGACTCATACCTTATCGAATTTATATGGCGCCAAGCTCAAGCTGTTAATGGCGAAGACGGTTTTCAATCAGTGCTAAAAGCAATAGACAAAAGATTTCCGCCGAAAAAATAATTCTGCAACTTATTCAAATTCGAAACCGGAAGGGTTTAATTGCTATTTTATATTTTAAAACAAAATAATATAAAAAACTGTATTAAAATTATCTGTAATTAATAAATGTACATTTTCTTTCTATTCATACTTTTTTACTCAAACTTACAAATCGCGCCAACCTGGTTGCGATAATACGTAAGTACCATTTTATTTCATTCTGAGTGGCATTTATAAAGTTCTTTTCCTTATGTGTGCATGTCTGTATTTATGTGTGTATCAGATATAACTATCGAAGTTTTGTCACTTTTAATGGTCTATAATGCAATACTGTGTGCAGTATCATGCAAAAAATATATAATCTTTTCGTTTGTTCGATCATTAAAGACAATGAGGATGCTGTTTTGTAGTTCAAAGCATTTTTTGCGAGTTGACGAAAGAGCTCTCCCGCAAAATATATCCCGTGTTTTATCTTGCCTTTGTAACTGTTTATTTCTAAGCTCATCAGTTTTTTTGTGTAAGCACTAACATGAGATTTTTCCAAAAAGTGTTTCAAAAACGTCTGTGATATGTTTCGACTCGATTAAAGGGTTTTCGGAATACCAAGATTTACACGATTGGATAAGAAATCTAGAGGAAATAAAGGATGAGTTATCTTATTGAGTTATCTTTCCATTTCTTGTATTCTGCCTGATTTTATCATGTACGTAATTACAATTGAACCACTATACTACTGCACGTGCTTCCTTGAGAATAAGAGACTTTAGCTAATCATATAACTAAACGGAAGGAAAGCAAGAGCTAGAATGCGTCAGAATTTCAAACTAAAACTTTCTCCTTCACCGTACTGAGGATTTAAGCAGCAGCAAAGTCATTCAAATACTGAGATATATGAACATAACCCTCTTCTGATTTGTTGGCCATTAAAACGTAAATAAGAGAAAGCACATTTGCATTTTCACCAGTTCCAGCAGGTGTATGGATGGCATACAGCTTAAAGAAAAGTTTTGGAACATTTTAAAATGTCCTAATCCATGATCCAATAAAGGGCTAATTTCACAAGTGCAACTTTTCTTTGGTCGCGTATTGTTTTGGTTTTTGTTAAAGGATGAATCATTTATTAGAAATTTTTCCCCACCAATAATTCTCAGTTCTAACAGAATATGAATATTTTCCGAAATAGCTGGCTGAGCAGACAAATCTCCTTTACGAACTCTTTCTATAATTTGACGTAGGGAATGGTGACTAGGCATTATAGAATGTCTTTTCCCTGAAACACCATTCGTTTCCTCTTGAATAATTTGCGCTGGTGTGTCACGAGTTTGGTGGGTCTTTCATTTAAATTATGTACTGTTACAGCAACATCTTTTTTTTAAGCATCAGTTCCATGGTTATGGTCTTTTTGTTATGTCTTTGTTATATATGTTCTCTTTGTTATGTTTTGTTTGTTTGTTATGTCTCTCATGTTATCCAACCACAAGTACGGTATTCGTATACCTCGAACAAATCACAGTTTTGCGCTTCTCGTAACACCAATAAAACAAACAACCTCTGTTTTTGTCTTTGCTAATCAAATAACCTTTAATAATGAACTTTGGATTACCTTTTTTTGAAGATACAACTTCGCAAGCTTGAATAATTTTTCAAAAGTAACACATATGCTAACCCTTAAACATGTCGCCCAGACGGTATAATGGTTAGCGGAGCCTACTTCGGTACCGAAGGGTGCGGGTCCGAATCCCGGAGAAGACATGGATGTTTTTTAATGTATAGTGGTGCAGCATGGCGGCACTCTAAATATGCGGCGAGCCGAAAGTCCTCTCTTGTGGATTGGTGGAAAAGGAGAGGCGTGAGAGACTACGGATCCACCCCCCTGCGCCAGGGTGCTCTCCCTCAAAATTGGGGTTGAAAATACGTCTCTTTGGAGTAGGCTCTGGCAACCATTGTTCCATATGATATGGACAAGACAACAACAACAACCCTTACACATCAACCTAATATGTGGAAAAGAAAGAAATAGAAGCGCTAATAAGAGACCAGAAGAATGAGGTACTGTATTTGTATTTTGTATGGGCGCAGCCCCGGCCCCCCCCCCAGCCGATTTAAATCGGCCACATGGCCAAAATGGGACAGGCCCGGAAAATAATAAAATCCACAAAGTTAGTAATAACATGAAACCAAGACAAAACAACACAGAACCATTTCATACAAAACATAAAAAGAACTTGTAAAATCTTGATCAGCCTTCGAATGAGCACAAAATTATTGAATAGGTCAGAAGATCTTAACTCTCAATTCCGATCTTTTCTTTATTGCCATTAATAATTTTCATTATTTCTTGAGCAAAATCTTTAAATCTGTTACTATTTACGATCATTTCTTCAATCTTCTTGTCTCCATACTTAAGCCTCACACCCCGGGTAAGAATACACGACTCGACGAAGTGATCTGCGTCACCGATCTTATCACAAATGAAGCATTTATCGTTGCCCTGGAGATGGAATCTATGTAAATAGAAGGGAAATCTTCCATGATTGGTAATAATCTGGTTGGCATCAATATTCATATAACATTTCATTCTGTTTGAAACTTCAATAAAATTCAAGAACCTATTTCTTTTAATAGAGGTAGACCAAACCTGCTTCCATTTATCATAGTAAAAATTCTTCATAATTGTGATCATCTTTCTTCTAGCCGGTCTTACATCAAAATAATCCATACCATCCCCCAGGGCAGCCTCCTTTGCCAGTGCGTCCGCCCTCTCATTGCCAGGATGTCCAATATGTGCCTTAATCCAGTGAACATGGATAACATGATATCCTAATGCTCTTTTAAACAGATCTTTAATGTCTTCCAAAATTTCATTTTTAGGCTCTGGCCGGGAGAGAGCCGTTAGCACAGATAGGGCATCTGAGTATATATGTATACAGTGTCTCTTAGTAAGTTCTCTTAATATCCAGTTAAGAGTTTCCCTCAAAGCAGCCATCTCAGCCTGATAAACTGAATTATGTTCAGACATTTTAAATTTCTCTACATGTATCTCAAGTCCATAAAAATAGACAACAAAGGCTGAACCGACTCCCCCCTCGAAGCCAGAGCCATCCGTATAAATTTCAATTTCCTGTAGGTCCCAATTTATTGCAATCAAAAACTAATGCTACAATAGTCCATAGGAGAAACACTCTCTGGATTAAAATATTTAATAAAATTGGCACAAACTTTAAAATCATTATAATTAAAAGAGTCTCTCAATCCATTACTTAGTAAAAATTTTTCAAAATAAAACTGGTAAAAAATCGAGAGAGAGGGCACACCGGCAAGTATCCACAGAACCTCCGTCGAGACCGTCTTAAAAGCTCTGGTAACAGCCAAGAGCCAGCCTCTCTGCAAAGAGTCTAATTTAGTTCTTAAACGGAGGAGCTCCCCTGCCCGGACACCCCATGCGCCAATGCCATATATGATCTTGGGAAGAATAACGCTGATATAAATTTGGCACCTTTCTGAGCCAGAGTACTTGGATTAAAATTATAAACATAAAAAGTTAAAACCTTCTCTATCTTTCGTTGTATATCTTTAAAATGGGAAATAAAATTCAATTTCTGGTCTAAAATAACACCCAAATATTTT